ACTCATAATTTATGTCTAATTACACAAACTGTCATTATATTTTATTATAATTATGTTATTATATAAATTATATATAATATATATATGTAATGAATAGATAAAGATATTTTAGCCCTAAAAATAGGCTTAATTTTTTTTCAGCAAAATTTTTATTTTGGGGTTGAAATATGACCCGACCACATTCTTGACAGGTTTCAGGAGAGTCCCCCATCATCCTTTGATCGCATCAATCATCTGCTGTGGTACCTGTGAACTCGAAGGCCTCCTCGAAGTACTGCCGCAGGTTCTGCTTGTTGCTGTCGCTGGCGGGTAAGCGCTTGTACTTGAACAGGCCGAGCTCGTAGTGGTAGAGCGGCAGGTGCGTGGTGACGTTCAGGATGAAGCCGATGTCCATGCGCTGCATGAGCTGCAGGTCCTGAGCGTCCCGTTCGTTGCCCAGGAACAGGAAGGGGAGGATGGCCGTCAGCTCTGCGTTCTCGATGTCCGGTGTGGAGGGCAGGGAATGAGGTAGCGCCCCCGACAGGCCCACCGTGGTCCTGCCGTCCTGTCCTTCCTCCAGGTGAAGAGAGTGCTCGCACAGATCACCGTGGCTCTGTCGGAAACCGGTGAGGCCTCCTACAAATGCAGAAACATTAATTAAAAGCAATAAATAAAAAACAAACCTTTAGGTTACAAGTCTGACTCTCTTACCATTAGGCCACGACTGCCCCCGTGCAATGTTTTAATGTTTTCTATCCATAATTTATTTTTCATGCACAGTAGTTGTGTGCTGATTCGTCTAATCATAAGAGACCTATCCTGTTTTTGTGGTCAGGTGACAGACACACTGAAAGATTTGCATGTAATTTGCATTTCAGGTTGAATAAATTCCAGATTGTGTTACAGATCTGTCTTATATGAATGCCGAATGATTAATAGTATCTCCTGAGATCAGTCAGCGCTTACTTTATTAGGTCAAAATTCACCACATAAATATGACATAGAAATTGCAGACATATAATACATATTGTATAAATTTCTATAATAAAATATTTTTAATTAATATAATTAATTATAACATTATTAATTATAATATATGATTACTATACAATATATAATACAACATTATTATTATATTAGGCATTATAAAATATAATTTATATAATTATGTTTTATATTATAATCTCATCTCCATTTCCATTTTAAAATATAATAAATTCCATAATTAATAAAAATATTATTTATATTACTACTATATAATATAAAATACACAATTATATATTATATTATATTATATTATATTATATTATATTATATTAGGTGTTATGAATTATAATTAGTATAAGTATGTTTGATAATTTAATCTCTATTCCTATTTTATAATATAATACAATCTCCATAACTCACACATACATTTAAGCATTTAACAGATACTTTTATATAAAGCAATAATTAATTTAAACATTATTAAATATTATATCATATTACATTGTATGCTATATTATTATATTAGGTATAATTATGTCTAACAATATAATCTAAATTTCCATTTTATAATATAATCTCCATAATTAATTAAACATATGAATGAAAATATATTATATTAGGTATTAAAAATGATAATTTGTATAATTTTCTCTTACAATATAATCTAAATTTCCATTTTATAATATAATATCCATAATTAATAAAAAATATTAATTAAAATATATTATTATATTAGGTATTAAAAATTATAATTTGTATAATTTTCTCTTACAATATAATCTAAATTTCCATTTTATAATATAATATCCATAATTAATAAAAAATATTAATTAAAATATATTATTATATTAGGTATTAAAAATTATAATTTGTATAATTTTCTCTTACAATATAATCTAAATTTCCATTTTATAATATAATATCCATAATTAATAAAAAATATTAATTAAAATATATTATTATATTAGGTATTAAAAATTATAATTTGTATAATTTTCTCTTACAATATAATCTAAATTTCCATTTTATAATATAATATCCATAATTAATAAAAAAAATTATTATGATATTACTATATAATATAAAAACAACATTATATATAATATTAGGCAATATAAATTATAATCAGTTTAAGAATGTCTTATAGTATAATAGCCATGATTTACATTTAAGCATTTAGCAGATTAATTAAAACATTAATATAAAAAAAAACAAACAAAAAAAAACATAATATTACTCTATAATATAAAATACAATATTACATATTATTATATTAGGTATTATAAATGACAATTAGTATAATTATATCTTATTTTTTTTAATATAATATAATCTCCATTTTCCCAATCATGCTTTGAGCTTTCATAGCGTGTAGAGAATTGTCTGTTAAACCTCTACAAACACCCGAGGCCTCGAGCAAACAACAGCTGTAACACTAATGATAAAGAACAAGCATCAGCAAACAAGCAAACACCCTTATAATAAATGTTGAACTTGTCATACTGGACATCTGCGCTTCCCCCGTAACCTACATCAGAAGAATACAGGGTGTGAAGATATAGTCTGTTAAATTTCAGTTAGTCACATGTGAAACCTGTAGCACCTGTTAACCTGCCTCTCATTCACAACTGCTGAAGAAACACTGACATCATCTCACTGTATTGAGTGAAGGGGGTTCTTGCGGCGTGACACAATCGCTCGTGAATCGCACACAGGAAAGCACCTTCAACGCCCGTTCATTTATAGAAACCCATGACACGGTTTCTAAAAGTCTCAAATTGAAAAGAACTCAAATTTCTCTGAAACGCTATTGCTGAAATCTTTCAAAACAGAAATGTAGCATTGCAGCAGTGGATGCTCTGAAGTGAATGGGTGCCGTCAGAATGAGAGTCTGATAAACATCACAGTAATCCACAGCACTCCAGTCCATCAGTTAACATCTGGAGAAGACAAAAGCTGAAACAAATCCAGCATTAAGACGTTTTTAACTAAAATATGAGTCCATAATCCATAATAATGCTTCCTCCAGTGGAAAAGTGTTCTGAATCAGGAGAGAAATCTGCACAGATCAAGCACATGTTTACAAGCCAAAACAGCTCTAAACAAATATGTCTGTGGAATTTGATGTGAGAGAAAACAGGAGATGAACTTTTTCACTGGAGGAAGCGTTATTACACTCTAAAAAATGCTGGGTTAAATACAACCCAGTGCTGGGTAAAATAGGGACAAACCCAGCAATTCGGCTGTTTTGACCCAGCGGTTGGGTTAAATGTTTAACCCAACCTTCTGGGTAGTAACCCAACCGCTGGGTCAAAACAACCCAATTGCTGGGTTTGTCCCTATTTTACCCAGCACTGGGTTGTATTTAACCCAGCATTTTTTAGAGTGCATGGATTATGGACTCATATTTTAGTTAAAAACATCTTAATGATGGATTTGTTTCAGCTTTTGTCTTCTCCAGATGTTAACTGATGGACTGGAGTGCTGTGGATTACTTGTGGATTATTGTGATGTTTTTATCAGACTCTCATTCTGACGGCACCCATTCACTTGCAGTGAACAAGTCATGCAATGCTACATTTCTCCAAATCTGATGAAGAAACAAACTCATCTACATCTCGGACGGCCTGAGGGTGAGCACCTTTTCAGCAAATTTTCATTTTTAGGTGAACTAACAGTTATAGTGTTAATAGTTTTGCACGAACCACTAAAAATCAACAGTGCCAAATGTCTGCATGGATACAGTACTGTGTTACACAAGCGCCATTTGGTTGCTCAGATGTTCTGAAAGTCTGCCGCTCACAAACTGGTGTATTAACAATGATGACTAGAAACAGCAAAGTCGCATTACACTGAGGTCTTTTCTTTGTTTTTAAAGATCAAGACCTCATACGCAAACTTCCGAGATCCTCCTGATTGATGGAGGAATTAATAAACACGTGGCCTTTTCTGCAGAGCCCATGAGATGTAGAACAATATTGACTCTCAGGAGATTCAGAAGCACAGCGGGTCTGCACTCTGAACAGCTTTTATCTGCAAGGATTTTGCAAGAGCCGTGATACTCTCACTAACATGCACACAGCGCATGAGAATGAAAGAGAAGCCTGATTAGCATCGCGTATGCCCTTCCCGGAGAAAGCAATCCCAGAATGCAATGCACCAAGCTCAGTGAAGCAATTCATTCAAGAGAAATGTCGATTCATTTTACCCAAATTATATAACATTATTATATTAGGTATCATAAATTATAATAGAATAGTTTTATAATCTTCACTTCCATTATATATATACACACACACACACACACACACATACATTCTAAATAATTAATTGCAACATTATATAATATTGCATTAGGTATTATAAATTATAATTACTATAATTATCTCATAATTTTATAATATAATCTCCATTTACATTTTATAATCTATATAATCTCCATAATTACTTATAACATTATTAATTATAATATAATATTACTTTATAATGTCAAATGCAACATTACCTATATTATTAAATTAGGTATTATAAATTATAATTAGTATAATTGGTAACACTTTATTTTAAGGTGTCCTTGCTACACACGTTACACGCACTTTCTATTATAATAACAAATAATTATGCATAATTACATGCAAGTAACCCCAAGCCAAACCCTAATCCTAACCCTAACCATATAGTAAGTACATGTAGTTAATTAATATTACTCAGTACTTTAATGTATAATTACACTGTAACAAGGACACCTTAAAATAAAGTGTAACCATATAATTATATTTTTATAATTGTATAATTACCATTTTATAATTTATGTAATGTCCATATTTAATTACAGCATTATTAATAATAATTAGTATAATTTTATATGATATAAAAAAATTATTAATTATAATATAATAATATTATTACTATATAATATAAAATACAACAATATATATTATTCAATTAATCATTCATCAAAGTAAATTGTAATATAATTGAAAAAACATTTATTTCATTACGTGATTTCAATTGTTAGATTAGATTTTTGTGACTTTTTTTTGAATGAAACATCAAAGGTGCTAACACCAAATTCTATAGAAATCAATAGTGAGTTGAGTTTCTGCACATTGTGTGAGGAGTGCTATATGCATAACACACACTTTCATGTTGTAGCCTATGAAGAGCATTCCAAACCACTTATGAGATTCCATTTCAGGCTGCTGCGTTAGAACTAGACAGCAAGACAGCTCACTAGGTTTTGGAACAGAGTCCTAATGTGTGCATGCGCTGGCATATCGGCTCCGTTCCAAAACCTAGTGCGCTGCCTTACTGTCTACACTTCTAAAGCAGCAGCCTAACTGTGGGATTATCCTATATACAACACATACAGTATGTACAATTTGGCCAAAACAAGATAATTTAAAGGGCATCATGTCGGAAAAGAACGCACTTTTGATGCCTAGGTTTTGGAGCAGATTCATGAAGTGGACGTCAGCTGACAGACGCGCTCTGTCCTCGTCCCTCAACTCTCCACAACAGCCAAACAAGGCAAAAGATGGCAACAGACTCGCGCGCTGCTAGAATAGAGCTCCCTCTTCACCGTCAGCTGCTGCAGGCACACGGTGGCACATGGCCGACGCAGCGAGAGGTCAGCTGAGCGGAGCTGGACATGCCTGCATGCGCAGGACATCCTGGACGCAAATAGTCAACAACCTAAAGCCTTTCAACAACCTGAAGTGTGATCAACTGGAGACGTAACACAACTACTGTACTGTGTCCGGCTAGTTTGTTGACGCACATTTCAGTCCCAGTTCTACTGTTCAAGCCTTAATGCAATAATTTGACCATTTGCTGAATCAGTTCATTACATATTACACAATTAAGTCTCTTCTGCTCACCAAGGCTTTATTTAAAAACAGTAAAAACAGAAAAATTGTGAAAAAATATTTCAATTCAAAATATCTGTTTTCTATTGTAATATAACGTAAAATGTTATTTATTTTTATGAAGCAAATCTGAATTTTCAGCATCATTACTCCAGTCTTCAGTGTCACATGATCTTCAGAAATCATTCTAATATGCTGATTTGCTGCTCGAGAAACATTTCTGATTATTATAAATGTTGAAAACAGTTGTGCTACCCGATATTTTTTGTGGAAACCGTGATATATTTTATTTTTCAGGATTCTTTGATGAACAGAAAGTTCAAAAGAACAGCATTTATTTGAAATATAAATCTTTTGTAACATTTAAAAAAAAAAAAATTACATTTTAAATGTCAAAAAAGTCTTTACTGTCACTTTGTTGCATCCTTGCGGAGTAAAAGTATTAATTTCTTAAAAAAAAAAAGAAAAAGAAAAAAAAGACTGGCCCAAAACTTTTGAGTACAATCATGACTAAAAGACGTTGTGATGAAACGGTGTCAAACACACATCAAGAAAACCCAGGATTACACTAAACGTTTCAGAAAGTGAAAATCCCATCCGATTACTCAAAAGCAACGGTCCAAAAAACTCCAAGCAGACACACGTCTGAGAGGGTGGCTTCATCTTTGAAAGTACAGACTGATGTTTGAGAAGTAGTTCAGTTCAAGTTCATATGCCTACGAAACAAAAAAGTAGGCACTCAATAATGAGTCATTTCTAGAAATGAATAATTCAGCTAGTTCTATTTCTGCAAGACTCAAATGACTGTTGGTGAAATTAAAAAGACAGGATTCACAAAACAAGAGATAAGAATGAAAACTGCTATTTTCTTCTTCTTTTCTAATTTAAGAGTAAAGTTAAGACTGTTTTACATCTAAATAAGATGTACTTATTATGTAAAATATGTGAGAACATCTTAAGAATTTGTCAAGAACTGCACTCTTAAAAATAAAGGTTCTTTATTGGTATCGATGGCTCCATGAAGGACCTTTAACATCCATGGAATCTTTCCATTCCGCAATAAGTTCTTTATAGTGGAAAAAGGTTCTTTAGATTTAAAAATGTTCTCCCTTTTGGAACCATTATTTTTCAGAATGTATTTAACATTCTTACAAACTTCTTACAATTTATCTTAACGATACATTAACAAACACTCTTTCTTCTTATTTTCATAAGTTAAGATGTTTTTGAGAATACAAAATGTTCTTAAGAGTCTTTTTTTCTCAAGATTCTTCTAAAGACAAAACCTAACCAGCTCTAAAGACAAACTTTTCTTTAAAAACATGGAAAATAAAGTTAGGATAGCCTCCAATGTGTCTTAAATCTTAATTTGTTTTTTTTGTATTTTAAAGCCCAAAAAATGCACTTATTATGTAAAATATTTAACGTATATTTAATATTATACGAAACATCTGAAGAGTTTTTCAAAAAGTGCATATGGGCATCGAAGAAACTTTAACATCCTTGGGATGTTAACAATAGAATAGTTATTAGTTAGTTAGTTATTCTTTAGATAACTAAAATTTTCTAAGAAACATTTGAAAATGGACTAAGAAAAAGGGATCTTTTAAGAAAAAAAAAAACCTTTTGGAGCCTTTATTTTTAAGAGTGTGCACTCTTAAAAATAAAGGTTCTTCAAAAGGTTCTTCAAGCGATGCCATAGAAGAACCATTTTTGGTTCCACAAAGAACCATTCAGTCAAAGGTTCTTTAAAGAACCATCTCTTTCTTACCTTTTTATAATCTGAAGAACCTTCTTTCGCCACAAAGAACCTTTTGTGAAACAGAAAGGTTCTTCAGATGTTAAAGGTTCTTTATGGAACCATTTAGACAAAAAGGTTCTTCTATGGCATCGTGAAGCACCTTTATTTTTAAGAGTGTACTGAACATTCTTTTTAGAATTTATCTCACAAAATTTCTTAAAGTGCCACTCTTATGGATTTCTGAAACTTACCTTTCATGCAGTGTGTAATGCAGCTGTATGTGAGTGTCTGCAAAGTTGTGAAGCTGAAAGTGCGTCATAAATAAAGTTGTTGTCTCTCAAAAGAAACAGTCGACTCTGAACCACTGAAACGAGTCGTTTTAAATTCAAACCCCATTCCCGCGAAATTCATATGTCACAAGTTAATACATTTGCATAATGCTTGCCTACGTTCTGCGTGCCGGACAACCCGAGAAAACTTGAACCTCCCTCAAACGCTGTAGCTCGACGTAATGTCAACATAATGTCCTGCAAATCAGCTGTGGGCCGCAATTGTCTAGAAATGTGTCGATTATTATAGAATGTCTGTTGTTCTTATTACTTGGAGTCATGATAACGGATGGAGCAATACGTTGTTTTACAAATTGCAGCATGGGCGGCGGAAGCAAAAAAAAATAAAAAGTGGGTGGGTGGGTCCAGAAAAAAATGTACTGGAATGGATTTGAGGAAGGCAAGGCTGTAGCTAAAACGCGGAATGGAGTTTAATTTATTAGGGCATTCCTCAAGTGGAATGGATTTGACTGACGGCGCTCTGAAAAGTGAACAGACATATGCGCTGAGACGGTAAAAGTGAGCGGGTCCAATATCGTTGGTCTTAAAAAGTGGATGGGTCTTGTCTCACCCACATACAATGGTTCTGACGCCCATGAACTGCAGTGCTTTATCAGGACTCCATGTCTGGGTTCGGCTAACGCATATGCAGTACCATTATTGTTTGGGTCTTTACTAGCAAGCTGTGGGTCCGGTTCACTGAAATAAGTATAAAACAACTTTTCCCCTCTGATTCTTTACGTTTAGAACAGAGTGGAGCACTATTATTATTATAATAGGATGTATTATTGATAAGCCGTATTCCAGTATTGGTGATGGGCGTTACATGCGCTGTACGCAGTAGACCAATCACAACAGACTGGGTCTTCGGACCAATTAGAGCAGAGTAGCCTCACGCAAAGGAGGGGATTGGAAAGATGAGTCTTCGAATGAATCGTTTGAGAGTCGTTGAGAAATAAGGTCAAATTAAATGCATATTATAAGAAAATGAAAGTGTTTTTGACCTTGCATGCTTGTAAACCTGCTGTTGTGGACTCCCAAAACCAAACTATGAACCTTTCAAATAGCATAACGGGCATTTTAACTTCTTCCTTATTTCTCATTCCATGAAGAAACTTCAACATCCATGGAACTTTTCCATTCCACAAAAAGCTCTTTATAGTGAAAAAGAGTGTTCTGAACATTATTTTTTAGAATTTATCTTACAAAATTTCATAACTTATCTTTTTAAGAAGATTTTTGTGAATCTGACCCCAGGACTCTGAATGTTGGATAAAAATAGCATTTGACTGGTTCCATGAAGTACCTTTAACATCCATGGAACTTTTCCATTCCACAAAAAGCTCTTTATAGTGAAGAAAAATGGTTCTTTTCAGGAAAAAAACCCTTTCGAAACCTTTATTTTTAAGAGTGTACTGAACATTCTTTTCTGAATTTATCTCACAAAATGTTTTTCTTAACAAGATTTCTGTGAATCCGGCCCTAGGAAAAGCATTTGAGAGGAAAAAGCATTGGATTTATTCCATCAAGAACCTTTAACGTCCATGGAACTTTTCCATTCCACAAAGAGCTCTTTATAGTAAAAAAAAAAAAGAAAAGAAAAAGTTCTCTAAATTATTAAAATGTTCTTCACACTATGAAAAAAATGGTTATTTTAGGAGCTGATCATTGAAAGACCACAAAATAAACTCTAAATGTTGGAGACAAAGCAATCGATTGACTCCTTGAAGAACCTTGGCTTTAACATTCCATTCCACAAAAGAATCTTTAGATTTCTTAAATTGTTCTTTGAACTAAGAAAAAAAAAAACTTCTGGAACCCTTATTTTAATTAGTGTGCTCAACATTCTATTTAGACTGGAAACCCATTCATCTCCAAACATTCACTCTCAAAAGCAGGCGTACCTTTCAGAACGATGGGGTCCTTTCCTTCCCTCCGCAGCGACTCCAGAACCACTTGCAGAGGCTGAGACGGCGTCAAGCGGCCCGGGTCCACCGTGCTTTCGTCGTACACCACCAGCTCTTTGGAAAAAATCCCCTTGAAGGAGTCCTTGCTCTGCCGGCAGGAGATGAGGTCCAGGACGGTGATCTTGCCCTGCTGGAGCCGTCGCCGACTGATCTTGTCCGAGCAGTTGATGTGCACAGCGCCCCGGATGTGGCTCTTGTTAAACTCCATGAAGGGCCGACAGTCGATGATGACGGGCACCGGCCCGACCGGGTGGCCCAGGGGGCAATGCGTCAGCTTTTTGGCCAGCTCGTTGGGGTGGATAACCCGCATGCCGCCCCTGGTCAGGCTGGAGGTGAGACTGGGCGCGCTGTAGGCCTCGCCTTGGCCCACCGTCGGGACGCCATAGCCCACTCCGGAGTTCAAGTTGGGGCTGCTGGCGCTGACCTGGCCGTCCTTCTCGTAGGTGGTCACCGTGCAACAGCTGGCACTGCTGCATCCACACGTCAGCGAGCGCGTGGAGCCGCTGGACGAGGGCATATACGAAAGCTTGGTCGCCTGGATCTTCACCACAGTGGTGCTGCTGATGACCGTCGACTGACCGACGGTGCCCACGGTAGCTTCCAGGTAGCTGGTGTCCAGGCGGAGTCGGAGTTCCTGAGGTCGTATAGGCCTTGGCAGCGCCACCACAATTCTGTCGTCTAGAGGAGAAGGAGGCATGGAGAGACCACAGAGGGCTGGCACACCACGGAGAACTCAGATGTCCGCTCGGTCGCAAGCTGCTCACTGAGAAACACACGAGAATCACAGATGAATTTGAAATGAACCTTTCAGGTGCCAGTTCTAAAAAGAACCGTGTGCAGATCATTTCAAGGGGGAAAAAAAATAACAAATCTGGAGGCACACCGACACTACACAAAATGATCCTAATGTGCTTAAATAAATAAATAAACAAACAAACAATTCAATTAAGATGAAACATTAATGTCGTATTATGCCAATACCTTAAAAGGCAAAAATTTTAATAACATAAAATACAAATAAAACTAAAAATAAATGAAAACTGATCAAATAAAAATAAATAAAAATAATAAAAAAAGAAATAAAAATAAAATATATCAATGCTGTAAAGTTACGTGTGGTCCTTCATAAAATTTTAAGAATAAAATTCAAACAGAAAGAAAATATACTGTATAAATTAGGTAATCAGAAGTCAATTAAACTTTTATGAAGTTTTAAAGAGACCAGGCACAAGTGTGAATGCACTGAAATAATGATACTATGTTTAAAAATAAAATAAAGATGATAAATAAATAAAACATGTTGTAGGGTCCTTCCTTATGTCAACATCTTATTTATTTTATAAACAATTTACTTTAAAAATAAAATTAAATGATCAAATAAAAATGAAAAAAAAAAAAAACATATTGTAGTGTCCTTTATTATGTCAACAACTTAAAAGGCAAACATTAAAATAGTCATTAAAAATAAAATACAAGCAGAAAGAAAATATACTGTATAAATTAGGCAATCAGAAGACAGTTTGGTGAAACTGGTTTAAAGAGCCACGATGCAAAGTGTGAATGCACTGAAATCAAATTCAAAATAATAAAAAAAACACCTGAAACAACTCATCAGCACAATTGTAGAGATGCTAAGATCTGAAATAGATGGGGCAAACATCGAAACACTGACCTAAAGAACCCGTTTCCACTGTGAAGAACCTTTTGTGGAATGGAAAGATTCCACGAATGTTAAAGATTCTTCATGGAACCAATAAAGAACCTTTATTTTTGAGGCTGTAGCATTGTCAAGCGGACAGTCTGTTCTCACACAGGCCCGGACTGAACCTGCAGAATGGCTTTCAGCTGAGAGAACTATACAGTCAAATCAGCCAAAATATTCAATCAGCAAAGGTGCAAGTGGCAGGAGACCTGCAGAACTTTCAGAATGGCGTGTATTTGAATTTGCATGGAAATCTGATAGATTCCTCTCATGGCATGAGACTCTCGATGCACGAGAGTGAATTGCTGACCCCATTAAATTCAAAAGAGCACACAGCCCATTCCCAAACACGGCATGTGGACGTGCTGGAAATGAAATATGGAAAGGTTCTGCATCTGAGGCTAGACATCATCATTATTTCATGCGGTGGCAATGCATGCGATTTACAGATGATGTGCTTTGCACAGCACACAATCTGTCCAGATCACAACTTCAGCCTCACACATGACTGATGACAGCAATGCATGGAAATTAAGTGTGATTTCAGGACAAATGTGTCATTTCCTGCAATGAAACACATCCTATAGATATATTATGATCTCTAATGCTCAGCAATCCCGTGCAATTACTAACCAACTCTAAATAGTTAAATATGTTCTTCAGACTTACATTGGAGTCGCGTTTATCGCGCAGTCCCAGTTATCGATCAGTCTGAGCCGCTCAGCCGGTCCCGGCGCTGGAGACCCGCAACATTTTCCTCCCGTCCTGCTTTGCTCTCTCTTCACTGATGTAGTTGGAGTTTGTAGCGGGTCTGCACTAGTATCACTTCAGACTGACGTGAGCCTGAACCAATGGAGCGCCGCACTGCTTAGTCACGCGGTAATGAATTGCAACAGCGGCCCAGAAACGGGAGGCGTGCGGAAGCGCTGGGTGATGTCATTGAGAGCCAATCAGGAGAGAGTTCGGTGAAAGCGGATTAAGAGACGGGACGCGAGTGTGAATGCACTGAAATGCCGTGTGATACCGTGTTTACTTAATAAATAATGAAAATAAAAAATCATCAAAATAATAAATATTGTGTTTAAAAATATGATACAATCAAGTACACATTATAAAAAAAAAAAAAAGCAAAATAAAATAAAAAGTGTCAATGTTGTAGGGTCACAACACCTTACAGGCAAAACTGAAAATATTTATTAAAAATAAAATAGTAACACAAAATAATATATTGTGTAAATTACGCAATCGGACGTTGGTTTAAAGAGACCAGACACAAGTGTAAATGCAGTGGAATAATGAAACAGTGTTTAAAAATAAAATAAAACATTAAAATAAAAAAAATAAAAAATGTAAAATAAATCATGAATGTTGTAGGGTCCTTCCTTATGTCAACACCTTAAAGGCAAAAATAGCTATTAAAAATAAAATACAAACAAAGAGGTGAAACTTGTGTAATGTGAAACTTGATACCATGTTTAAAAATAAAATATAAAAATGATTAATAAATATATAATTTAAAAAAAAGAAAATTTTTGGGTCATTATGTATGTCAACACCTTAAAAATACAAATAACAAATAGAATGATTAAAATTACAAAAATAAAATAAAAATGCTGAAAAATAAATTAATATCAAAATTTTAAAATATATGTACAAAAAAAAAAAAGTTAAAACATACAAAAATTTAAATGTTGTAGGGTCCTTATGTCATCAATAGTCATTAAAAATACAAATAAAATACAGAAAGAGAATACATTATATAAATTGTGATCATTTTCAAGAATAAACACGTCAACTTCACACAAATTCTGTAACATATAATAACTTGAAACTATGACTCATGTATTAAATCATATTTGAATGCTCAATACCTACTGATTTAAACATTCAATAACATTAAATGACTTATTAATGAAGGTTATATGTAGTGTTACAGGTTCTTGTGAGTTCTTGTGAGAGCCAATGACTGCTGTTCACACTGTAGTTCAGTCGTTGAGAGGCCTTGTTCTCACATAAGGGCAAATGTTATATAATGTCTTCATGGTCTAAATGATTCATCTATGACTAATGATATCTAATGTGAGCTTTATTCATGATCTCACAAGCAGTGAATAGTGTAATGTTCACCAAACAGGTAATGTGGGAGTCACTGAGGTGAGGTTTGACATACTTCACGATTTGCATGGTGCATAAATTATATTTAGTTGATAAAATGAGGTAAAGTGTGAATTAAGGTGACTAACTTTACGCTCGCCCCCCCCCAAAACCCTGATCTTGTTTTATTGCCCCGGTAGAAGCATAAAATTATATTTAGATGCGTGTCTGTCAGTGGAAAAACTGACGTCATGCGGTGTGATATTTAGAAGCCTGAAGAAGAGGAAACGAACAACCACTTCCTCTTTTGCAGAGGTGTTTTGCTCGGTCCCTTTTTTCACAGCAAAATTAGTTTCATTATTCTCAATGGCGATTCTCATTAGACTCTCATTACTGTAATACAGTCGTTTGCATTTGAATCAGCATCATTTAAAGGCAGTACAGTACCAGAATTCATTACAGCAATGCCACAAATATTCACTTGATACTGTAATGTGGAGAAAAATATTTAAATATGTAAATACGTGTACACTACTGGTCAAAAGTTTGGAATGATTATGATTTTTTTTTTATGTTTTTGAAAGAAAGAGTTTCTTCTGCTCACAAAAGCTGCATTTATTTGATGCAGTAAAACAATAATATTGTGAATTATTATAAAATAAAATATAAAAATGTATTAAAAAAAATTTAAACATATGTTTACATTTTTTATTACATTATATATATATATATATATATGAATACAGTCGTGGTCAGAATTATTGGCACCCTTGGTAAATATGATCAAAGAAGGCTGTGAAAATAAATCTGCATTATTAATCATTTTGATCTTTTATTTTAAAAAAATTCACAAATATCTAACCTTTCATTGAACTAAAACAATTGAAAATGGTGGAAGATCTCATTATGAAACAAATGTTTTTCTCAAATACACATTGGACAATTATTGGCACCCCTAGAAATTCTGATGAGTAAAATATCTCTGAAGTATATCCCCATTCATATTTACAATTTTGAGCATACCAGGGTGATTATGAACATGAAATTTTCCAGCCATGGCTTCCTGTTTCACAGGAATATAAATAGGAGGGAAAACAAAGGCTAAAATCCCTTAATCAGCCATCACAATGAGAAAAAACTAATAATATATTTCTGATGTGCAGCAAATGAGTAAAATGTCTGTGAAGTATATTTCCATTCATACAGTATTTACAGTTTTGAGCATACCAGGGTGATTATGAACATGAAATTTTCCAGCCATGGCTTCCTGTTTCACAGGAATATAAATAGGAGGGAAAACAAAGGCCAAATTCCCTTAATCATCCATCACAATGAGAAAAACTAAAGAATATATTTCTGATGTGCAGCAAAAGATAATTGAGCTTCACAAATTAGAAAGTGACTTTAAGAAAAGAGCTAGAGCAGTGAAAATTCCCATTTCCACCATCAGGGCAATAATTAAGAATTTCCAATCAACAGAAAATGTTACGAATCTGCCTGAAAGAGGACGCGTGTCTATATCGTCCTAATGCACGCTGAGGAGGAGAGTTTCAGTGGCTAAAGACTCTCCAAGGACCACAGCTGGAGAATTGCAGAAAATAGTTGAGTCTCGGGGTCAAAAAACCTATATATATAAAAATCTAAAAAATCAAACAGCACCAACACCACATGTTGTTTGGGAGGGTTTCAAGAAAAAAATCAAGAAAAGAAAATGCTCTCATCCAAAAACAATCCCCAGCATATTCTGTTGTCAGACACGACTGGAACTTCAAATGGGACTGGCTTCTATGGTCAGATGTAACTAAAAATGAGCTTTTTAGCAACAAACACTCAAGATGGGTTTGGTGAACACAGGGATAAAAAAGTACCCCATGTTTACAGTGAAATATACTGCTGTATTTTTAATGTTGTGGGCCTATATTTCTGCTGGAGGTCCTGGACATCTTGTTTAGACACATGGCATCATGGATTCTATCAAATACCAACAG